GATTTTGATGATCAGTTTTAATCTGAAAATGCCTACTAGTTAAGTAAGAATTCCACTTTTTAACAGCTACTAATGCAGCTAACATCTCTTTCTCGTAGATTGGTAAGAGCTGATGTTTGAGAGATAAAGCCTTACTAAAGAATGCTATAGGTTTACCTTTTTGACTTAACACCGCCCCAATGCTCAATTTAGATGCATCAAACTTAACGATAAAAGTTGAGTTAAAATCAGGTAAATCCAACACAGGAGCAGAAATCATTGCTTGTTTGAGTGCTGCAAAGGCCTTCGTAGCTTCTACATTCCAAGAAAATCCATTCTTTTTCAACATCTCTGTTAATGGTTTATCAATTGAACTGTACCCCTTAATAAACCTTTTGTAGTAGCCTGTTAAGCCAATAAATCCTCTTAACTCCTTAACATAGCTAGGAATGGGCCATTTTAAGACACATGCTATTTTCTTGTCGTCTATAGCCACACCTTGCTGACTAATAATATGCCCCAAATATTCCACTTGAGCTGTAGCAAACACACATTTAGATAATTTGACAAATAATTGATTCTACACCAATACCTTAAAAACTTGCTGTAAATGCAACAAATGACTTTCCTATCTAGCAGAGTATATGAGAATATCATCAAAGAAGGCAAGCACAAATCTTCTAAGATAAGGCTGAAAGATGTTGTTCATAAGACTCTGAAAAGTGGAAGGGGCATTAGTGAGGCCAAAAAGCATTACCAGAAATTTGTGGTGCCCATGATGGGTTCTAAATGCAGTCTTGTAGATATCTTCATCATCCATTCGAATCTGGTGATAACCGAATCCAACTTAGAAAACCAACAAGCTTCAATCAACTCATCCAAAAGTTCTTCAACGAAAGGAATAGGAAACTTATCCTTTATGGTGAATTTGTTTAATTGCCCATAATCCACACATAAAAGCCATGAACCATCTTTTTTTTTAACAACACCACTGGAGAAGCAAAGGAGCAGGTGCTTTCTCTGATAAAACCAGATTCTTTCATTTCAGCCACCAACCTCTCAATTGTAGTTTTTTGAATGGCAGGATATCTATAGGGTCTGATTTTAATGCCTAACGATTCATCTTTCAGTCATATTTTATTATCTTAAGCTCTCTTTGGGGTTATTTTCTTAGGTATCTCAAATAACCTTGAGAACCTGGATAACAACCTCTGCAACTCTACTGGTAACTCATAATTCTTCTAGCTTCTAGCTGAAACTAATAATGATTGTGGTGTTTGCAACCTTGCCAACTTCATTACACAAGTGCTGGTAGAGCTTAACTTTATTTTAGCTAGTTGCTTCTTCGTAGCCATTGTCAACCTGCCTTCAATTATCCTTTACAGTTAGTAATTATTGCATATCATTGTGAATTGCATAGCTAAATTGGCAAAGTCCCACACAATAGGACCTAAATTTTGTAGCCATTGCACTCCCAACAATATATAACACCCCATCAGTGAAAGTCAAAGAAAGTCTGTGCATTGCCACAAACCTTGAGCTTCCCATTGCACCCTCTTACAGACTTGTTTCACGATTAACTGATCGCCATTAGCCACTGTAATTGGCATGCCTGCAACAGAAGACACTTTACAGCCTAATCTCTTGGACATAGTTTGATCAAGGAAATTGTGAGTGCTTCCAGGATCAATTAGAATGACTAGCTCTTGATTTTTAATTTTTCCTTGAATCCTCATAGTTTATGGCCGAGCTGTTCCACTCAAGGCATGTAAAAATATTATGGGTCTATGCAATCCTTCACTGTCTTCGTTGCTATCTTCAAACAACTCCAAACAATAAGAGAACTCCTTCGGTTCTTTGGTTGGTTCTATACTCTTATCAACCAATAACTGGTACAATTAAGATCTCATACACCTATGCCCCGCAGTAAACTTCACACCACATGCACAATCCTTTTTTTCCTTCTATCATCCCTTTCTTCCTTTGTAAGAAGCTTGTTGTTCTTTGGTGGATTAGGGTCTGACTTCATATTAGGGGTTTTATAGGTCACGTCAGTGTTTGGTGTTTTCTGGGGTTGAGTGTAAGTTAGTTAAGAAAGGGCTTTTAGGTGTAGGTAACAGTAGTTTTGAAGTGTTTGGGGTGATATTTTGTAAGGGTGGAGCTGTTAAGGGATTTTTCTAGGGAGTGAATATTTTTTTAGGTAAATTGAATGTTAGAGATTGCATTTGCTTGGCCAGTTTATATGCATGGGTTAAAGTCTTCGGATAAAACATCCTTGACAGGTTTCGATATTTCAGGGTTAAGGTTGCTAATGAAAATACTGAGGGCATGCTCATCAGACAGTGGTACCATATTCAAAAGGCTCTCAAACTCCTCATAATAGTCCTCTTCAGTATGAATTTGTTTTAAACTAGCAAGCTCAAACATAGGATCTGAAAATTCATTTTCACCAAACCTGGATCTCATCTCCATAACATATTGATTCTATGGAATTTCAGTAATCTCACGTTTATTCTTTATGAACTTCTGGTGCCACTGAAAAGCTTTACCTTCCAAGTACATCATAACAACTCTAACCCTATCCTATTCCTTTGTCTGATCAGCCTCAAAGAACTGTTCTATTTTGAGCAACCATCCTTGAAAATCAATCCCATCAAATCGTGGACATTCCACTTTCGAGAAATTAGTGTGGACTCCAGCCACTAGAGGTTAACCAATAGAAGGCGTCATCAGCTTCATTCCACTTTCAGTATCTGTTTCTGTCCTGCAGCATAAGAACCAGCCTTACCAAATACACTGGTTTCACCCCCTTTTGATGATCCATCCAATTGCGACATTATTTCCTTGAACATTTCCTTTCTATCAGCTTCCAGTTTCTCGATCTTCTCGAGCCCGACATGTATTTCCATTCTAAGCTCTTCTTTCAACTAAGTATTGGAATGGCCTAGTTTCAGCTTTAACTTCTCAAGCTCCTTCTGCAACGTAGTTACATCTTTCTGTAAACGAATAGTTACGCCGTTCGCCATGCCAGAACCAGTAGCTCTGATACCAAATGATATGAGCTGAATGGAATGAAGAAGATAAAGCCGCAACAAAGTATCAGCACAACTTGATAAGAGAAAGGAGAAGAAGAATCGAGAGAAAGAAATAGGAATTTTCTATATTGTACATTCCTCAACTGACTTCAGTTACTCCAATACATCATATATCACAGAATAATGTCTCAGTAAAAAACTAACGACCCCCTTATAATTAGCACCTCTGTAACTAGTCCTATGACTTAACAAATATTTAAAATGGATTTATGTTTATTGAACTAAACTTCAATAATACCCAATTAGCCCAAGTAGTCCAATACTCTAACAACCTGTAAAAATTTCAAATGGTTTGAAGCAAAAGAAGCGAAGTTTTTTGGATTTGAAATCATAGGTTTTAAATTTAGATCTAGACTTTTTCAGTTTGATTTTGAAACATATAACTTCATAGATGTAAATGAGAAATCAAGAAGAGCTTGAAGGTACATTTTATGAAAACCCATTGTCGATAAGTGGCAACCGATTACAAAAAAAAAAAAGGTGGCCTGATTTTCTTTTGAGAGGATAGTGACAGAGTGAAGGATTTTAGAGAAAGAAACAAAGATGTAAAGTGAAAAAAACAGTTTGAGGTTTTTGTATTGCACCTAAGCGGTGCGTTTAGGTCAGAAAAGAAAGAAGGAAACTTGAAGAGAAAAAAAGTGATGATATGGCAAGTCTTATAAAGAATCAAAATAGGTAAAATTAGAATACTGGATGGATGATGCCTGCCTTGTAACCTGATTTTGATGTATTCCTTTGGCTAGGAGGTAGGTATAGGATTCGAAGCCCCCAGAACCGCAGGTTTAGCCTTCCCTTGAGGGGAAGGGCGAGACAAAAAAACCAGTTCAAAGTCCGCTGGTTAATTCTGGTCTTAAATCAATCTAATTAGCTATTTTTCCTCCAATTCCATTGGTCATTACTGTTCTCCTATGGTAGGCAAGACAATTAGCGAGACACTGCTGGCTTGTATAATAATCTTTGAATGTCAAATATATCATCAATCATATATTTAAATCCTAAAGCCAAACAGCTAACCAAAAATAACTAAAATATGCTTACCAAATAGGCAAATAAGTACCTAATCACTTGTTTTCTCATACCCTGTGCTTTCCTCTCTGCGGGTATAGTATAAACTAGAACAGGAATTTCTATTCACTACCAAAGAATATATTCCCATTTCCTGTCCCTCTATTGTTAATTAAAACAGTGGTTGTCACGAATAATCAAACCTTACCCGATTTCATTAGATATAGTTAGACTTCTTTTAAAAGTATAGCACATTTTTTTTTTTTCTTCAGATCTTTTGCTGTGTTTAAAAAGTCAATCTGGTGCCTTTAGTCATAGGGGAAATGTTACTGTAACACCCTAAATTTATTTTGGGATATTATTCTATTATTATATATAAGTAAAATTTTAAATTTAATATTTGTGAATAGTTTTTTTTTTTTTTAAATAAAATCGTGAGATTTTTAATCAAAATCGATAATATTTTACAGGTTAGATATTGATTTTCACAAATAACATTAAAATAGTCATTAATATAACAAAAATTTAATACAGTTAATTTTAAAATTTGAAAGAGTTAAGTATTAAACAGTAAAAATTACTTCTAAAATCTTAACGTTTGATGTTATCTTGACTTTGTAATTTTGTATATGTATTATATTGGGTTTGACGAAAATGTTATGTTTTAATAAAAAAATTTGACACACCACAATCTTAGTAAGTGTGTTTTGAGAATCTTTTATATATAAGTGAAGATTTAAACTCAAATTTATAAAGTATTTTTTGTGAAATAAAATCATAAAATTTTTTGATTAAAACAGATAATATCTTTTAGTTAAGTGTAGATTTCCACTGTTGCTCTTCTCCTTGGAAAAAAAAAAAAAAATTCTATATGTAGATGTAGACATGGTTGCTTTAGCAATCGGCATTCGAGGTCCCAAATTTATCATTTTATTCAAAACCTTAAAGATGAAAACACTAGTATTGAATTTCCAGATGAATTTAACATCATAGGCAGAAAGCAAGAAACCTTTAGTTCAAGAAAATATTGAATTTCTGGCATCACTGGACTTCCAATGGTCAATCATCTAGGTGCAATACTTGAATTCGTTAAACCATTGACAGAGCAACTTCTAGTGAGCGTTTGATGATGCTCAGCAAATCTTCCCACAGAGAAGGGAGGTTGTTGAGGTTGGGCTAGTGTCACAGTTTCACCTTTTAACATTACGACAACAGATGACATGGTAGGCCTCTCAAATGCATCTTCTTGAACACACAACAGTCCAATATGGATGAATCTTAAAAATTCATCTGGCAATCCATCGGTTAGTAATGGGTCCATCAATTCCAGAGCATTCCCTTCATTCCATAGATGCCATGCCTGCATCATGATTTAATGTGATTAACAATGTTTGGCAGCACTGCTAGCAAATTGAAGAGAAATGCTAGTAATTTCAGCTGAATAAGAAGTTACATATGCTACGAGGTTGGGGGCCCGTTTTGATTGATGAAAGCCTGCATTCCTCCTGCCAGTAATTATCTCAAGCAAGAGTACTCCAAAGCTAAAAACATCGGACTTAATCGAATATAACCCCTCCATGGCATACTCTGGAGCCATGTATCCACTATTGCACAAAACGACTAGATTTTAGAAAGGTATCAATATGCTTGAAAAACGAATATTGAGCAGATCAGGCTTGTGCTTTGACCTAATTAATTAAAAATTATGATCTTTACACTGGAATATATGAAATGTTAAAGCATTTATCTTGACAATCTTACTAACTAAAATTTTGAGGAAATGAATTGAAATTAAAAAGAGAGGCTTACTAGGTTCCGACTATCCTTGCTGTATTAGCTTCACCTTCTGCTCCCGCAAAGATTCTAGCCATTCCAAAATCTGAGATTTTTGGATTCATGTCAAAATCTAGCAAGACATTACTAGCTTTTAAGTCCCTATGTATGATCCTAAGCCGTGAATCCTCATGTAGATAAAGAATTCCCCTTGCGATTCCATTAATAATGCTAAGACGTTTGCTCCAAGTGAGTTGTGCACGTTTCTTTGGATCTAATGAAAAAGAAAAAAAGTTTCAGGCAAACACTTTTGAGTAATTTTCAGATATTATTTAGATTGAAGGGATCAAACTAAAAAGCTCAAACCCTATGTAGAGTTAAGAACAGACCAAAGAGGACAACTTCAAGGCTGTTGTTGGGCATAAATTCATAAACAAGCAACTTTTCCTGTTGATCCACACAGAAACCCAGAAGCCTGACAAGGTTTTTGTGCTGAAGTTTCAAAATCAGTAGGACTTCATTTGTGAACTCCAGAGTACCCTGTTCAGACAAGCTTGAAAGCCTTTTGACAGCTACTTCCTTTCCACCAGGTAGTACACCCTAAAATGAACAAACTTTGTTCTCTTTAAATTGGAGAAGAGCAGGCATATTGCATAATTTAATTGTTGAATTGGACATCAATAATGACGCTTCGTTAAGTATTGGATAGAAATTTCTCTTACCTTGTAAACAGGTCCAAAACCACCTTGTCCAAGCAGATTTGTATTAGAGAAGTTATAAGTAGCTGAGTTTATGGTTGCCAAATCAAAAGAAGCGTCGTGAACTTTTAGCTCATCCAAACCTTCAAAATACTGTTCTTGGAAATCTTTGTTATGAGGGTCGCCAATATTGTGCAGTTGAACTTGATTTCTCGGAACTTCGTCCTTCCCTGGGACATGAAAACAAAAGAATAATAAAGAATAATAGTTAGCGTATAAAGGCTTCAAAAGTGAAAAGAAAAAAGGAATATATGGATTTCAGAGTATATTTCTGATTGCCATGGTTACCTTTTCGATTTCCTTTCATTGCAACACTGTATAGAGTGGAAACCAGTAGCATTACCACCAAAAACGCTGATCCTATTGTAAGAACTACAATCACCCATATTTTCCTTCCACCGCCTGCATTTGAGAGCAAAGAGTGGTACAACTTTCTGGGAATTTCCTTTTTTTTTTTTTTGTTAAAAAAAAAGGGTCATGTAAACAATTCTTAAAATTGAAATGAACTAGCATACCTGCTGATGTCGGTTGATTTTTTGCAGGAACAGAGGATTCATTGGCGCCTTCATAGAAGGCGTATAACTCATACCGAAGATAGCAACTGCGACTAAGTAATCGTGCCCCACGAGAACCATAGCATATAGATGAAACATCTTTTATGGCAGCCTCAAGGCATTTGTTACAGTCATCTGGGGATAAGTCCAGGGTGCACTGCACCAGAGCATACACGATGTCATCTGTCGCAAATGGTTCTTCTCCAGTAGCATACATATTTGCTGAAGAATTAAAGGCTGCTATTTTGGTAAGATTTCGCAGCTTGTCATCCACAGTAGACTGAAAGTGTACTGGATCAGACATATTAAGAACATTATCTTTGCCAATGTTGTCTGCAACATTCAATTGGCCAAAAAAGTTAGTATTTGAGTAGCGCAATTGGCAAACTTCCTCCCATACGACTGCTTCTGTTCTGCTAGGACAAAGATTCATGATAGCCTGGGAAGCAGCGGTGGTGCAGTCTTGGCAGTTTTCGTTTGTAACATAGTCGAGGCACATGTACTGAGCATAAACTCTATCCGTGCCATTCCCGTAAGAGATATTGTTGTATTTGGAGACAGAAGCGTTTAAGGGTAGTAAAGAAAGGAGATTGTTGAGATTAGTTTGAAATGAACTATTTAATGAATTATTGATAGTATTGTTTGAACAAAGTGGGTAGGGAGGATCAGCAAGAGCAAGATCTTGAAGACCAAACAGAAAAGAACAAAGCAAAATCAAATTAATAGTTTGTGAAAAACTCCTTGAATCATCCATATCTTGTCTTACCAGACGTCTCTACAACACTGCAAGATTGGCTCAACTGCAGCTTAACCTAAAGGCAAACCTTAAATATTACTGTGAATTAGAAATCCTGACGGGCAATTACTTCCAAGCAATTTCAGGGAAGAACTTTCAAGTGAAAATCATCTATAGTAGTATATGAATTTCTTAATTAGCGTTTACTGATAAAACTATGTTCTATAGTAGTATATGAATTTCTTAATTAGCGTTTACTGATAAAACTATGTAAAAATGCAATAAATTAACACAAATGAAAAAATAATTAAAAGGTAGTACTTATACAATGACAGTGACATTTTGAGGTAGAAGTCAATGCAAGGGTGGTTGGATGTTTGCTAACAAGCAAACGGAAAATTCAAGGAAAAAGAAGGGAGAATCACTGAATCTAGCTAGAACTTTGGGCAGATAGACAGAAGGCTGGTAAAGTCGTCTACAATTGCTTTGTTCCAGGAAGGTGGTTTCAGCCCTCTCGGCGGTTTAAAGCCTGACGATGCACTGGTTCCCTTGACCTGATCAGAACGTTCAATCAGAGGGCTGCGCGTTTACCGGTATCAATGTCGTGCATTGGTTTCAATGTGCAATCTACGTCATAATTTTCTTAAATCAAATAGGGAAAATTTTAACTTCTTACAAAACGTATTTTGCAAAGGAATAAAAAATTTTTTAGATAAAATTTGTGAATTTTTTCTTAAAAATGATTTAATAAAAATTTTAATAAAAAATATAAATCGATAAATTGATAGAGTTCAATGTAGAGATCAATTAAAAAATTGTTTAAAATATTATTTATAATTTAAATTTAATCGATAGTTATTCAATAATAAAAATTTTATCAATATTTTTATTAAAAATATCTAAATAAAAATATATATCAAAATTTATTACAATTTTTTCATATTTTGTATCCTTAATCTATATAACGAAAATTTTCAATCTATCGATTTTTATTTTTATTTTTATTTAATCGTTTTTAATATGAAACTTTACGTACTTCACTTAAGAAACTATTAGGGGTATTTAGCGATTAAGAGGGCATAGTAGTTTTTTTTTTATATTAAAAGCCTTCAACAGAAAATCAAAGATAATTTTGATATTTACATAACTTGATATATCAAGTTAATCTAACATTCTTAGTGCAACATCAGCTCGATAGTGTCTTTATTGTCCCCTAATGGCCCCCTATCGCTTATTTATAAATATGAAAGTCCAAGCACCATGAAAATAACACATACCACTCCATCTTCTCCCTATTATTCTTCTTTCGATCTCATTCTTTTTGACGTGCATGTCGAAGTACAAATGCAGGAAACATTTTTTATCTTTGGCTCTAACCGTCCTTTTTTTCTATCTTTTTATGAATATCCTAAGATCAAAACTCGACACAAACATTTGGTGTGCCAAGTAGGGGACCTTTCCATAAAACCTTAAAGGAAAGAGAGATGGCCATCCTAGCTGGAACAGAAACACACAACAACTAGCACTTATAACAACCTCACCCACCACAGACAAGCCCAACCATGGAACAATTTCAAGCTTTGATCGAGTAGATACAAGCATTTAAATAGATATTTCAAACTATAACCCTGCCACAAGGTTCGAAGGTGCCCGATCTAATCACACCTATATAAGGAACCACAATAAGACAACCAAGCTATGAGGAGCTAGAAGCCTCCTTAGCCTTTAGAGAAGAAGAGCACATCACCCCAACTCATCATTACCGCAGCCACAATTCAACACATGCTACAACCCAAAAATCCAAACAAACAAACCTTGAACACTAACCAAACAAAGACTTGGATGCATGATAGGGAGAAAAAGCTAAAAAAGAAATCAGTGGCATTTGAGGATAAGCTCAAGTTCCTGGAAACCTCGCTCTTTATAAAAAAAAATCAATAGAGCCATGCCCTTTAAGGGATTTAAAATGCCATCCTTGAAAAACTATGATGGTACTTCTATCCCTTCAATTATTTGAAACTTTATAAAACTAATATGATGATGTATGAAGTAGATGAGGCTCTAATGTGCAAAGGCCTAGCTACCACATTGAAAGGTGCAGCTCTATCCTAGTATAACAGCTTGGAACCGAGGTTAATCACGATGTTCAAAATGCTTAACCATTCTTTTTTGTCTAAGTTTGTAAGTAGTTAAATAGTGAAAAAGATGACTCTAAGTTTAATGTCTATCCACCAAGGTCGGAATGAAACTTTGAAGAGTTATGTCACACGTTTTAATGTGGAAGCTCTATACGTTGAAGACCTAAAATAAACAGTCTCTGTAGCCCCTTGACAAGTAGACTCAATGACATATAGTACCACCTGAAGCTAACATTATCATTAGAACCACCTAAAACTCTAGTCAATGTTTTATTGATAGCTGAAAAATATATAAATATTGAAAGTATAATAAAAAACAACCAAAGAGAGAGAGGCTCATCCCTCATCCTCAGTCATAAGAAAGGCAGGGATTTTTACAATCTTCCCTCAAAAGAGAAATGACATAAGGCTAGAAACCTCAGTGAAAAAATGAATTACATTATATTGAATAGCTTTTAAGAGAGGATTTTGATGCAAATTGAGAGAAATCTTGAACTCAAATGACTAAATCCATTAATACAGAATACGAGAAGAGATCTAACCAAGCGATGCATTTTTCATAGAGATATGGCTACAATATTGAAGATTGTGTCGACGTAAAAAATAAAATTGAAACTCTAATAAAATGATGTCAGTTGATGAGATTTTAGAATAACGAAGACAAGGCCAACCTAGAGCGGATTACAGACAATATCAAAGAGAGCACATTTGGGATAAAAAAAGGCCAAAAAATGAAAAAAAAAAAGATCACAAAGATAAGCTGAGATAAGGAGAAGGTCAAACTAATAGTAATAGGTCGATCGCTTGAGTGATTGATGTGATCACCAGAGGCAGTTTCACCTCGGTCAAATGAAAGTTCAATCCAGACATGGTTATAGTAGTAGGCACCTCAACGAAAAAAGAAAAAAATTGGAAAGATGAGTTGTTTTTCAGCCTAAAAGATTTTGAAGGAATCCAACACATACGTGATGATGCCATGGTGATCATGGCCATAGTGTATAACTATGTAGTTAAGAGAATCCTATTTAATAATAAAAGCTCGACCGATGTCATGTATTACAACATGATGAAGAAAATGAGAATTGGTAACTATCCGTTGTAGCCGATCACCACAACATTAGTAGGATTCAGAAATGAACAAGTGCCTATGAAAAGAACAATCAAACTATCGATCTCCTTGGGGATAGAACTAAGGACAACCACCTTAGTTATAAAATTTATGGTGATAGACGTCCCATTAACTTACAACATGATATTAGGTCAACTTAGTCAATCTGTTACGTGGCTTATAGGCTCAACTCCCTATTTGAAAGTAAAATTTCTAACACCCAATGGGGTTAGAAAGGTTAAAGGAGACCAATCCATGGCATGTCAATGTTATGTTATGATAATGAAATAAAGGACTGAGAAGCAGACTCACAATTTGGTCGAGAATAGAAACACTAAGGAAAGGCAAACAGTAAAAGTCAACAAGAAGTAAAAAACCACAAGCAAAAACATAAAACGTAAAATCGACTTAACAAAAGCATGCTTTTAAGCTGCTTTGAGCTATTAAGCTCTAACAAAAAGCAAACTTTTGTTCTATATTTTAAAGTAACTCCAAATACGATCAAGCTTTTAAGCCAATATGAACAATTACATATCATTTGGATCGAGCTAACAGGTTGGTCAAAATACAATATGAAATGAAAAATACATACCAATTTCACTACATAAATATTTAACAAGTTATCTATAATATATTGATCACCATATCGAGATTTGTTTTCACAATAAATGGTTTTGACCTAATAGAATAAAAAAAATAATTGATTAAAGACTGGACTCGGATGAAAATTGACTTGAACTGGCTTAAGATCTCGTAACAATTTCATTTTGGGATAGCATCTTTGAAAAATAGATACAGATCAGAACTAAATTTTTAAATAAGGATTAGTTAATTCAACTCTTAAAAGATAATGTCGACCTATTTACTAGGACACCATTCAATATGCTTGGTATTAATACCGAAGTGATGGTCTATAGGCTGCATACTAACCCTGAGGTAAAATCAGTTTGACAAAAAAAAATCTTTGCCCTAAAAAGATAAAAGGCTATTGAAGAGAAGATCGATAGATTATTGTAAGCAGGCTTTATTAGGGAGGTTTACTACCCTGCATGAATAGGTAACGTGGTTATGGTTAAAAAGCACAGATGTGCATCAATTTTATCAATCTGAACAAGGCATGCCCAAAAGATAGCTTTCTTCTACCTAGCATAGATTGGCCAGTGGATGATATTGTTGAGCATGACCTCATTAGTTTTATTGATCCCTATTTTGATTACGATCAAATTAAAATATTAAAAGATGATGAGGAAAAAATAACCTTTATTATTGAGAAAAGCCTTTATTGTTACAAGATGATGTCTTTCAAACTAAAAAATGTAGATGTGACCTACTAAAGGATAAGCTATTTAGAAATCAAATCGACATAATATAAAAATATATATGTACAACATGATAGTCAAAAGCAAGAACTTGATTGAGCACTTTGAAGACCTTAAAGAGATGTTCAATACCTTAAAAAAGTACAATATAAGGCTCAACCCTAAAAATATACCTTTGGGGTCACGTCAGTTAAGTTTCTTGATTACATGATCAATAAAAGAAGCATAGAAGTGAACCTAAAAAAGGTTTAAGCAATCTTACACATAAAAACACCGACTTCGATGAAAAAAGTACAAAGGTTAATTGATAAAATAGCAATCCTGAGTCAATTAATGTCCAGGTTGACAAAATGATGTATGCTATTCTTCAAATTTTTTAGAAATGTCTTTAACTTTAATAGATCCCTCAATGTCAAAAAACTTATAAAGAACTCATAGAGTTATTATTCTCTCTACCCATTTTGTCTAAGCTGAGGTTTTTTGAACCCTTATACCTATACTTGGCCACTATGAACTAAGCCATCAACTTGGATTTGCTCCAAAAAGAGGAGGAAAAGAAAAAATCAATGTATTTTATGAGCAAAGTATTACCAAGGCTAGAAATTAATTATAGTGGTATAAAAAAGTTAGCTTATGCAATTGTCACTTAGGTCAGAAAACTCAGGTCATATTTTCAAGCCTATTTAATCACGTATTAATCAACCAACCATTAAAGTAGGTCTTACAAAAATTAAAAATGTTAAGGAGATTAATCAAATAGGTAGTAAAAATTAGTAAATTTGACCTACACATTCTACCTGGTTACTCTTAAAATTTCAAGTGCTAGCAGACTTTGTCATAGAGTTCAGCTTGATACAAGTTGAAAGATAACCCGAGAAAAAAGAGAAAACCTCAAACTTCAAGAATTTAAAGCTTTATGTTGATGGTTTAACCACGAACCATAGTGAAAAGGGTCAACTTTATTTTGATCAAAATGAAAGGATTGCAATACCTATATGCTTTGATATTTAAATTCAAGACATCCAACAATAAAAGTAGAATATAAAGCACTGATAGTTGGCTTGAGGTTGGCAACCAAGCTCAATATTCAATATATAACTGCATAGAGTGATTCCCAACTAATGGTCGATAAATAAATAGAGAATTTAGAGCTTGAGAAAATAGAATTCAAAAATATTTGGATTAAGTGCTGCTCTTAGTGGCTGACTTCAAAAAGGTTAAGATAAAAAGAATATTGAAGTAAAAAAATTCACTAGAAAATTCATTATCTAAGTTGACTTTAGGAATAATAATAAAAAGTTCAGACCGAATCTTAGTAGAAAAGCTGACACACAAAAGTACTAAGGATAAACTAGTAAGATAGATCACAAAAAAAAAAAAAAAACTTAAATGATGTTAGTCAAGGCATACTTGACAACGAAAACATTACCCGAAGAAAGAATTCGAACTAAAGCATTGATGAGGAAAGCTCATCGATACATGATGATTAAGAAAAAATATATACAAGATCATTTAGTCTATGTTATCTAAGATGTGTTAAGGAAAAAGCAAACTATGTCCTGCAAGAAATCCATTAAAAAATATATGGAACCCATCTCGGACCTCGACTATTAGGTTATAAAGTACTTAAGCAAGGCTACTATTGACCCACTATTAAAAGGAAGGCAACTAAACTAGTAAAGAGATGTGATAAATATTATAGGTTTACTCACGTGCAACATCTCCCCTCTATCGAGCCACCCTTATCATCAGCTTATGGCCCTTTATGCAGTGAAAAATAACGTTTTTAGACCATTCACCCCAGCCACAGGCCAAAAAAAACTTGTCTTAATAGCAGTAGATTACTTCATGAAATGGCTTGAAGTTAAAGACTTAGCCATTATTACAGAGGCCCAAATCGAGAAATTTGTGTGAAAAAATATAGTCTGTAGATTTGGGTTACTTCAATTTAAATAATAGACAATGACAAACAATTTGAAAACCCAAGGTTCAAGGAATGGTATTCAAACCTCCATATCAATCTCAGGTTCATGTCGGTTGCCCACCCTCAGTCTAATAGATAAGTTAAAACTACGAACAAGATAATATTAGAAACTCTAAAAAAGAGACTTAACACAGCAAAAAAAATGGGTCAATAAGCTACTAGAGGTGCTATAAGCCCTGAAGACAATCACGAAGTTACTAATAGGTGAAACCTCATTTCACCTGTCATTTGAAAAAGAGGCCATGATACCTATTGAGATTGGTTTTCCAAGCTTAAGAGTTGAATTAAGGTTAGAAGAAGGAAATAAAAAAGCACTTAAGGCCAATTTAAACCTCGTTCAAGAATAAAATGACATAACCATAACACGGATAGTAGCTTATCAACAAAAAGTAGCAAGTTATTATAATAAAATGGTCTAACATAAGCATATTAAAAGAATGACCTGGTACTTAGAAAAGTTAAAGCTTTAAGAGTAGATGATCGAGGTAGCAAATTATCTCCGACCTGGAAAAGATCATATATAGTTAAAGAGATTGTCCATGACGTGACCTATAAACTATAGGATATGAATAGCAGAGTCATCCCAAGGACGTAAAATGTAAATAATTTAAAATTTTACTTTTAATAACTTGGTCTAAACTGAGCTCACACTTATATATTATACTTGAATACAAAAATCAAATTATGCTCAATGAGCTTACTCCTAATCGATCCAACAAAGTTCAACCTAGAACTTAGATGAATTCTTAAGTTAATTTAATTTAAATGATTATGTAATCCTCAATTCAGTTAACCAAGCTCAAATTTCTTTGATTAATCATGCTTAAACTTGTGCAAATAAAGAAAAAAGTATAATAGAACTGAGTTGAAGCTTAGACTGAATTGAATAAAAATTTTTATTTCATTTTCTATTAAGTACAAAAGTTATTTGTCAAGTGGGTTAGTAAAATCTGAGGTCACTATAAAAACCAACCTCATACATCAACCAAACAATTATAAAAGTTAAAAAAAATACATGTTAGTGACATAAGTAGCAGCAGTAACAGGAGTAGCACCCTCATCAGTAGGAGTAACAGCAATAACCTCACCTTCCCTAACCTTTTCCACCTTATCCTTGACACCCAAAGCAACCTCAAGCTCAGTGTCTGTGGCTTCATCATCATCTTTCTTTTCTTCTTCTTCTTTCTTAAATTGATTTATAAAAGGTCATGATCTACTATTATTGATATCAATATTAGAGATGTAAAGGTTGAGGGCAGAGAATTTAAATTATAACTCATTTTTGGCCAACTGAAAAACACTCAGCATATTTTTTTTGGAGAACTCTACTTTTATTTGAAGGCATTCATTGGAGGCCCTAAACTCTTCAATGATCTTCTTCTTCAGATTTTTTTTTCTTTCTCTTTAGCCTCTAGCTTAGACCTCAGCCTTGCTATCTAGACTTGAACATCATTGAGCTTAAGCTCGGCTTGCTCTTTCATTGACTCAACTGAGGCTTTATCAACTAAGATAGCCTACAGCTTTGCTATTAGCTCATCATTCATATTTTTCTGCTTAGCTTCTTTTTTAGGAGATACACTGAGGCTAAACCTGATATTACTTAAAGTATCCAAGCTTTTCTTGTGCTCTTCATCCAAGACAACCATATCCTTCTCAACCTTAAGTACATTGGCCATAGCGATGTAAGTGTGGTAAAAGGCCTGGTTTATGTTTTTTAAATGTTGAAGTGGAATTTTTGTTGGACTGCATCAAACAAACTTAGACTTAGCAAAATGAAAAATAATAAAAAAACTAAGTTGAAGTCAATTTGTGTTTACCAAAAGAAAGAACCACGACTTTAAAAAATTTCTTTGCCATGGTCAGGTTAATGTTAGGGTCATTAGTAGAAATGTACTCCAAGCTTGTACAGATCTTCTCCATGCTAGGCTTTAACACCCTAGTCTTGAGATTCTCTAAAGTAGAAGAGAAAACCTTCACCCTAGGTTTTTTTACAAGAAAAAGTGTTACTGTTGATGTTGAAGAAAGATCTCGACTAACCATAGCTTTTGTTTTTTGAGCTGCGAAAAAATGGTGCAGTGAAGGGTTGAAAACCTTATGCCTTTAATAAGATGGGGTCCTGAGCTGAATTTTTTTTTAGCCCTTCTTGGGCCTCGAGGCATACTAGTACAAATTAAAGTCAAAGTTGTCATTGGTAGCCATTTTTGTAAAATCGAGCTAACAACTGGATAAAATCAATTTAAAATACAATCCTATGAGATTACCATAAACTTATCCCAGTACTTTATCTAGTTTATTACTTTAAGGATGTCAGCATGTGAGCATCAATAACGAGATTTCTTCTACAAGTGCACTCAATTATTTTATCCTGATATATATATTTAGGATGAAAAGAGCAACTAATGAGTTCACAAAAGCATCAGGCACACTTTTTATTTCCTAGGCCTCAAACTCGATAGTGACCTCGATCTCAGGTTTGTCATCTTTATTTATTTTTTATTTTTGAAAACAAGAGAATAATAGCTTTTAGTTCTTTATTGAGCTCGGACAATCGATAAATAGTTTCTTATTGGGTCGAGCTATTACATAATACCACTTCCTATCACTAAGGTTCATTTTAATAAAAAAGAAAACTCCTTGAATAGATGGAGAAAAGAAAAGATGTACAGATATTGATAAATAATGATAAAAATAACTATGTACTGTATAAAGTTGGGGCTAAGCTAGGTAATAGTTAAATTATAAAAATTAAAAATTAAAACAAATAAAAAATGAAATGAAAACCTCATACTGGCTATAAAAGAATCCTAATACACATAGAGCCAATGTGGCTCTAGTTTATTAATGACTTGGTCTGAGGAGTTTGGCATTATTATATTGTACCTTTCTTTAGAAAAAAAAAGTATCTTCAGAGCATGGATGTGATAGGCCGAACATATGTTAGGATAGTCTTCAAGATTTGTTCTGTTTTTTAGTTCGTTATCACATCTTTAGGGATCATGCCAAAGTCACAGAGAGTATGTATGAGGATTTTCTCTAGTTTATCTTTCTCCGTAATATTCCTCTCCTCATCATCACTTTCTCTAATTGAGGTACTCCTTTCTTTTTGTTCCTTTTTGAAACATTCCTCATAAGAATCTTTCTAGTAAGAAGACTTTAACTCGTGAGAAATACCAAGATTTTAAGGTGGAACTATAGCTGAGAGTAACTCAACTCTAAAAAAAAATGACAAATTGGAAACCCCTTAAGAGAAGAAGAGATCTCGATAAGAATTGACTATGGTGGAATGGAAGTGACAATGAGAGCATCGATAGGGAGAAGAGTAAAAGTAAAAGAAAATTGATGAGATCGAACCCCAAAAGTTAGAACAACCAAAGATGAAAGAAAGTTGACCATAGAAAATGAATCGACCTGAGAGATAAGGAAAAGTGGTAGATTTTGTAAGTCAAAATCTATTTAAGCACACCGTTTCGCTATGTGTAGAATCTGTTCTCCCCTTGTCTGAGCATTTTTTTCGTTTTGTTGCTGCCTTTCCTTGGACATCAAGTTAAACCAATAAGTTATCCTCTCATAATTATGGCCCTCATGATTGATGGAATTAGATCATCGTTTTACTTCAGCTGACCCCTTTAGGTTTTATCTTGTAACTCTTGACCTCCTCAAAACTTACACTAGAAGACATCATTAAAAATACACATTAAAGAAAATGTAGAAAAACTTTAAAGCCAAAAAATTTTTAAGGTTAAAAAATCCAAATCAGATTGAGAGCAAAGAAAGTAGAAAAGTAAAAAACTAAAGCCCCAATAACCCTTTATATAACCCCATAGTAGATCAAATGAACAGCACAGATCATGCCACACATCAGATTGATGACGGATAGACTTTTTTTATCTTTTCTATCCAATTTTTTTCATTCAAACTACCTCTCTCTTCATTTAATGTCATCAGACCAATCAGACCAGACAAACCCCAGGTCAGATCGACCACACTAGACAAACTCTAGCTCAGAGCGGCCAAACTGAACAATTCCTTAGAATAGACCAAATGCCAAGCTTGTTGCTAGAGTTCAAAGTAAATACCCAAATTCAAACTCCTAAAATAAAACACAAGTCTCACGTTGATCAAACGAACTTCATTAGTAACCTCAAATCATTCCAAATGATTAACACCTTAGCTACCTTCAAGCCGGTCATGCACTCAACACCGAGACATATGTGCAAAATCATACCTTTACTAGATTAGACAATGACTCTAGGCTATTTATCTCTCGATAACGATTTCCTCTATGACATTAGCTCCGAAAAATGATGTTTCATGTCATTTTCCTCCATTTACCTGATCTACGTGAAATGTACTGATCATATGTCGGGTAGTCTAATATTCAAACTACTAGATAAAATATTAGGGACATTCAATAGTCAAAAGGGCATAGTACTTTTTTTTTCATGTTAGAAGCTTTTAGCAAACAATCAAGGGTAATTTTGGCATTTACAATAACCTGACATGTCAGGTCAACCTGACATTCTCAGTGCCATGTTAGTTTGGTATTATCCTTATTGTCCCCTAGTCTTCTATCACTTTTTTATAAATATAAAGGTCCAAGTACCATAAGGGTAACACACACCACTCCATCTTCTCTTTATTATTCTCTTTTCAGCTTCATTCTTTCTGATTTACACGTCGGAGTGCAAATGAAAAAAACATTCCTTGCCTTTGCTTGTAACCGCCCTTCTCTTCTATCTTTCCATAAATACTCTAAGACTAGAGCTCGGCACAAACAGAAACTTTATTTAAGTCTTTGACTTTATAAGGAAAACTATAAAAAAGTTCAAATTTCGTTTTTTTTTCTTTTGAGAAGTGAAGTTATAAAGTGAAATAAATATCGTGCATTAATGTATTAAAAGGGTTTAAACATTATAGATCAAGCAAAAATCCAAAAGTAATAATGGAAGAAGCCTCTAATTAAATCTACTTTAAATCACGTTCATAACTTCAAAATGATTTTGGAGGATTTCTAATTACATTTAATCATGCCCCCGCTAACTGAGCAATCTCATCATTATGCTTGTTACATTTGAGTTGAACAAAGGGAACAGAAATTTTGAACTTTCGAACATTTCTCCTATCAAGGAGAACTTTCGGTAGTTATATTAAATTCAATTTGTTACGCTGGTCATGGTCAAAATATTCAGCGGGCTGAGATATCAGATATTGTCATCTGGTTTATTGATGGATCTGTTGTTGAAGACTGATCGATTGGATTCAATCTGCCAACATAAAATGCAGGTCTTTTTGGTTCAGGAAGAGCAACGGTATCACTTCCTAAGATAGCCACTATATCAGACATGGTGGGTCTGTCTGCTGGATCTTCCTGCACGCATAAAAGCCCGATATGTGTGCACCTCTTGATTTCTGGATTTGAGCATGATTCCATCAAACAAGGGTCCACTAGTTCCAGTTCTTTTCCTTCTTTCCACATTCGCCAGGCCTGCCATTGAATTCACATAAATAAAAATTTAGACAGAATACAGTATTTCACTGATGGAAGGGATACTTTAATTTAACTTCGATGACAAATTACAGGAAATACATACATATGCAAGAAGTGTCTGGGCATGTTCCGTTTGGCAAAAGCCACTATTCTTTTTCCCGGAAAGAATCTCTAGCACTATCACGCCAAAGCTGAAAACATCTGATTTCACTGAAAATAATCCCTCCATCGCATATTCTGGAGCCATGTATCCACTGTTCCATGGAAAGTATCATCAAATTTTCTCTTTTAGCAATTGTCAAGAATAATTAAAGATGCAAGGAAAAATTGCATACTCACAATGTTCCCACAACTCTTTTAGTGTTAGCTGAGTTCTGATTTTCACAAAAAATTCTTGCCATGCCAAAATCTGATATTTTGGCAACCATGTCTTGATCCAACAATACATTGCTGGGTTTTAGATCTCTGTGAATGATTTTAAGTCGGGAGTCCTCGTGAAGATAAAGAAGTCCTCTAGCGATTGCATTAATAATGTCATACCATGTCTTCCAATCAAGTTGTGAGCGTTTCTCCGAATCTGAAATTAAAAATTAAAGATCATTTAATAAACAAAAAGATTCCAAGAGTTCTATTCTATAGAGGAAGAATAAAGAGTGCATACCAAAGATGAAGAAATCAAGGCTTTTGTTTGGCATAAGCTCGTATATGAGCAGCTTTTCCTCACCTTCTATTCCACATCCCACTAGCCTTACAAGGTTCCTATGTTGAAGTTTTGCAATTAATATGACTTCATTCTTCAATTCTTCTAAGCCTTGCCATGATCTCCTTGACAGCCTTTTAACTGCCACTTCCTTCCCATTCGGTAGGACACCCTTGTAGGGTTGAATTTTACAAATTCAGACATCAGACATAAATCCAGGCGACAAAGTTCTAATGAACTTAGAAGAAAAAGGCAGTCATAACTCTTAGGTACCTTGTAAACTGTACCAAAGCCACCTTGTCCGAGCCTGTTGGACTCTGAGAAATTATCTGTAGCTGCCATTATAGTAGCTAAATTAAGGAAGGGAAACTCTTGACAAGTTACCAACTCGCCTTCTTGTGTAATGATTACTTCTTTTGAGCTTGCCAATTCATATAACAATACATGCTGGCTTCTTTCCTCATCTGCGAAAGAAATAAAGTCTAGCCCTTATTTCGCTCCTTTTTCTTTACTGAAAACAATATAATATGATAAAGATAAGATGGTTGGCAATTTATGCAGCATTTTACCGTTTTGTGTCCCTTTCTTCCTTCGATAATAGACAACACTAGAGCCAATGAGAAGAGCAAGAACCAATGCTGTTGCACATATAACTACCGTAATCATCCCGCTGCTCCATTTATCCCCTATTTTCAGGGCAAATATTTGGTTAGAATCCAATTTCAGCACTCAGTTTGGAATGATTGAAAAGCAGTGGTAAAAGTTTCTTTTAGGTGGAAACTTTGAATCTTGTTGTAAAAGGCGGTACTAAATTTTTCTTTCTTTTATTTTTCCTTGTGTGATTGAAGATATTAATTTCCAACTTTATGAGCTTTATGACAAATAGTAGCAAGAACAAAGGAGCTATTCAACAGATGCAGTTTCACTTCATCCTACTTAAAACTAATTTCAAAGAGTAAATGTTTCCGGTAGAAAGAAATTAAATGATTTTTATGATTACCTGTAGATAATGGGTATATTAATGGAGAACTTGAGGCATTATAGAAGTGGTACAATTGGAATCTCACGTTACAATTCCTGCTGAGAACAGTTCCGCCTGTACGAGAATTGCAGCAGCCGTGAAGATCTTTAAGGGCTGAATCTAAACAATTTCGACAATTACTGCCAGAAATGTCCCTGGTGCACTGAACAAGACCATATATTGTTTCCTTCTTATTAAACTTCACTTCTCCAAATCCAAACATGAGCTTGGAAACAGATGCTGCATCCGTTGAGATGCTATTCATTAAAAACGTTAATACATCATCGAAATTACCAGGATGTGATATATTTTTCTCCTGATTGTTTGAGTATGGGTACTTTCCAGTATAAACCATCAAAGAACTGTTCTGAAATGAGTACTGAACCTGACAGAGATCGTACCAGACAATAGCTTCTTCAGTTTTGCACAGGTTCAGGATTTCTTGGCTAGCATTTTTTATGCAATTTTGGCATAACATAGTGGTGACATCTCCTCGGCAAAGCGCTCGAGCGTAGACTTGATCAGCACCATCTCTAATCGAGGTGCTATAGAAGCCTGTACCTGAAGTATTGGAAGGTAATGACTCAAGAATCCGCTTAAGGTTGTTTTCAAATGTGCTGTTACTTGTGTAGTTGTTTGAATTGTCTGAGCAAAATGTGTAAAGAAGATTTGGAAAAACTTCGATAAAACACATGAACAGGCTCAAGATTAACGAAAGCAAAGCTGAAAGTGCATAATTGCCCATTTTTTTTCTTTCCTGGGAGTATGTTTCTCTGCATTATATTTTAGCTTAAGAACTGCAAATATGGAAATTGACTTAATTAAAAAAGTCTTTAATCGCTGCAGGACATTTCCTTGTGGTCACAAATTTTAGATACGGTTAAACTAATGAACATCAGACGGAAATTTCCACTTACCAAAGCTGGAAATTCAGGAAGGATTCAGTAGTTTTAATAAAGTCAGACTAAACCTGACAATCACTCCTATAATTATATATATATATATTTGTACTTGTCATGTTTGATATATAATATTATAAAATGATAAGATAAGATAATATTATGAATATGATTAAATTAAATAATAGTATCTTATTTCGTGTTTGATGTATGGAATGATTAGGATAAGATAATTTCTTTTTTTTATCAAAATTATACTTCTTTAAAGTTTATATAATTTAAATTATTGATAAAATTTTTAAATATATAATAAAACATATAAATTTAATTTTATGAAGTAAAAATAATCCTCTTCACTTGAAAAGAATTGAATGATCTTATGTCAAAAGAATATTAATTCTCATTTCAATCTCTATCTTTTTTTTTTAAATACAAATCAAATATAATATAAAATTATTAGCATTCTATCATATCAATAATCTTATGCATTAAACATGATGTAAATGTCTTTATTTAGTTAGATGTCATTCATATGGATTGACTTTTAATGGTCAGTCGTAATAGCATGTCTTAATGGTGATTTCCACAATATATATTTTATTTTCATTATAGGACGTTTCAAGCTTATCTGAGGGAATTCTATAATAACTTCCCCCTAATTGTAATTAAAATAGTTGTAACAGATAGCAAAGCAATTATAAATAAAATGATACATTCTAGGGAAATGATAGTAATGGCCGGTTGGTTTTTTGTTTGACCCAGGACCGTCCATGGTTGTTGTCCAGGCAACTGCGTTTGTTTACAAGAGAAGGAAGCTCATCAATTGGATGAGCAGAAGAATTAAAAATGATCGGTCGAGGCTTGTATGAATGAGTATGACCATTCCACAATAACGGATGGATAAATAATGAGATTCTGGGAAATATGTGCAGAAAAATTTTATGGCAAAGAAGGTGGCTTAGCTTAACTGTAGGTACTGGTTGCTATGGTTTTCTTGAGTAGGCTTAGGATTTCATGTAAATTAATGGATATTCAAATTTACAAGGCTGGAACTGACCTGTGGCACCACATTACTGTTGGCTAAGCAACTGGAAATTTTAGTTAACATAGTAATTGACCCCATGTACTATATGAATTTTGTCTTAAACCTCATAAGCTCTAATACTAAACTAATAATCAGTATAGCCGAACCCGATTTTGGATTAACCAGGATCCCTTTTGCATTTGGCTTTGATTTTGAGTTCCCCAAGATTACCATCATTACATGACTATAATAAATTCTGAATTATAAGATGTTGCCGAGGAATTAATTTATGCTTTGGATAGCCAAAAGAATGAAACTTGGGAGTTGGAAGAAAAGGTTAATATTTGGTCATTTTATCAAACTTTGCCAGCTGATTACTCTTTTAGACAATTCATATCTGTATTCAGAGTACGTAAAATGGAATCACGCCAGTAAACATTAATATTCAACAAAGGCAACGGGACCATTGATGGGTCTAGAGAAGAGCATATTTCAACTTATTCAGGGGAAAAAAAGTCGTACTAATTGTGTAATTGTCATTGCTTAGGCAATCAAATTTGTAGAATAGTCCCGATCCCCCAGTCGGCCATTCCACCACTTGTTGGACTGGTTTGTAATGAAGACAATATATTCCTTTGGGGATATCATAAAAATCCCAATAAGTCAAAATCTAACACTTCAATTTCGATGTAAACAGGTATCCATGACCAATAAATTAGCATATTCTGAACTAAATAAATGAATAAACGCTTGTATTCTTGTATACTCAATGCTTCGAATTCTATGAGCAAATACAAGCACTTGCGGTTTGTTTTACCAAAACTAAAAAATTAAAAAAAAAAAAAAAAAAAAACCTTCTCCTTTTTTCTTTTTCTTCAAGTTAAGTAATTAAAAAATGATTAAATTAACTGATTGACTTAATAATAGTAAATTCGAATTCAAAAGTTAATGAATAATACTACTTTTAATATGATAGCATAGTTGACATAAAAAACATACTAATTACTTTTAAGTTAATCTGAATTTAACTTATTTTTTAATAATCTCCAATTGATCTAAATTTTTTAATCTTCCCTCTAAAAATAACCATTAGAAATTTAGAGCATCATCACTCCAAGAATATAAAGAATAATAAATAACAAAAAAGAGTAAAATTGGAATTGGACTGTCCATAATCCAGATAATTATCGGGGCCCATTAATTTCATAATTACGACTGACATACTAATGGACCCAAAGCTGATTAAAGGCCCACTTAAAGTTGGAGCTATGCCCAAAGAAAGGAGGAAAACATTACCATTTTCATCTCTTTTCCAGTTCTCCCATTAAGCGTCACAGTGACTGGATGTCACCTGGTCGTTATGGCAGTTACTCTGAAAAGATTATCTTCCATTGCCCCTTTCGTATTCAAAATCTTTCCTCTTTCCACTCCTTCACGTTTTTCCACACTCTATAATTTCTCGGTATCCTCAATTAATCAAACCACACTCCACATAAGACCGGTTAATCCCGGTCAGTTTCTAGAACAGCTCAGTTGTTTGCTAAAATGTCTCAATGGACCTATTAGTCAAAATACTTACCAACGAACTTTGGTTTTTTTTTTTTTTTCATGCTTTGTTTTTTAAGATAGAAAACGGAGCTGAGGTTGATGATGCTCAAGAGTTTTTAAAGTGGCAAAATGGTGGTGGGCATTTTCACAAGTCATCTTGCATTGATCCAACTGTGCTTATCGAGATCGGTGCCATAGTTCATTCGAAATCCGTTTTGGGTGCAAATGTTCATGTTGGGTCAGGGACTGTTATTGGACCTTGTGTGACAATCGGTCAATTTACAAAGATTGGGTAAATCAGTCAATATTTATCTGCAAAATGCACATGCAGACCCGTTGTTAACTTTAGTGTTTCGCTTTAATTTTGTATTTATGACATCTTTTGATTCATGATTGATTTGTTAAATTTTCTCCAGGTACAATGCTGCACTCAGTAACTGCACTGTAGGTGATTCATGTGTGATCCACAGTGGAGTTTGCATTGGTCAAGATGGTAAGGCCAGATGCCTGGATTTTATATCAGCTAATGAAAGTTAGAGGAGGCATTGGATTCATTTACCTTTTGATGGTGTTCCACTATCAAAATGTTTACTTATATCCCCTTAATCTCCCTACCTGCGTTGTAGGACTATTAAAGTGTAATTTTGTGCAGGAGTTGAATTCTTTTCTCTCTTTTTATTCATTTGCAGGATTTGGATTTTGTGTCGATGAGGATGGCAACTTGGTCAAGAAGCCTCAAGTTGGTGATGTTTATTGGACTTTAAGCTATCCAACATTTGCAAACTAGATAAATATATCAATAGCAAGATCATATTTTCTTTAATATCCTGAATAATTGACAATGGACTAAACATGTTAATTAATAAACTGTAGAAAACTTGAAACACATATACAATATATTAACTGTTAGAATAGCCAAACTTTAGGAAAAGCATTATAATTGGCATTTCTAGTATCATTAATTGATTATTATTAGCCTCTGGTGGAGCATCAAAAGGTTATTTCAGATATGTTATTCAGACTGGATTAAGTAAGTAAGTTGTTTTACTATACATTTTTATTTCTGTGTTGTTTTTCCTCAGATGCTAAATGTTAGGATAGGGAACCATGTGGATATTGGAGCTAACACATGCATTGACCGTGGCAGGTAAGTTAGCTGTTGGTTCTGAATGTTTTCCACTCATAACTAGCTTCTGCATTTCTCAGCAGACCAATCTATAATGAAAGTATGTCACCTATTTGGTTGCACAGTTGGAGAGAAACAGTAATAGGAGATCATTCAAAGATAGATAACTTAGTTCAGGTAGTTTTTGCTGCCTGGTTTTGTTAATAGGCATGCTCTATGGTACAATCTTACCAAAATGCTGGCCTTTGCAGATTGGACATAATGTAGTTATTGGGAAAAGTTGCATGCTTTGTGGACAGGTCGGCATAGCAGGCTCAGTGATGTATGTTATTATTTTTAGTTCTTTCTTGTTCCAGTTTGTCCTTCAAGTTTCTCATGTATTTGAGTATATTCATGTATGTGAACTTTGTGAGAGGTTTAAAGTTTCTAGGAGTTCTGACTAGCTTTGGCTTTTCTCTCCTACCACAGGATTGGAGATTATGCAGTCCTAGGGGGAAGAGTAGCAGTTCGTGATCATGTCTCTATTGCATCAAAGGTATTTACTTGATTTTGTCATCAGTTTGATTATATCCCGTTGAAATAGCATCTGGAGTTAAAGTTTTGAATGCTTCCATGAAGTGTATGTTTCTAATCTAAGTTGGTCATTGCAGGTTCGACTAGCTGCTAATAGCTGTGTTACTAAGGACATCAGAGAGCCTGGGGACTATGGTGGCTTCCCCGCTGTACGGATACCTTTTACATTTTTAATACCTCTGATCATCAATGTAGAACTGTAGATCAAAAACTCAACAGCCTAATTGGTTGCTTGGAGAGCTGACACAAAATGAGGCCTGAACATATTCTGTTTATTACTTTGCAGGTTCCCATTCATGTTTGGAGAAGACAAATTGCTATTCAGTGCCGGCGTTCAAATAGGGAGAAATCCTGAGGTTGTTAAAAGCTTAGGTCATAAAATTATGTATGATACCATGTGTCCCTAATAATACCTACTATTGTTTTCCTTTTCAAAATTAATTTGAATAGAGAGAGGGAGAGAGAATGATAACACTGTCATTCTGTCGATATGTTATACTTTCACCATCATTGATGCATGTCCTTAAAAAAGGATTATTATCCTTAAAAAATTGTATTCCAACATTTGAGGCTACAAAAACAATTTGAAGGCTAAGTTTAGTATAAAAAATAATATTATTTCTTTTTTTGGTTACATCAAGAGGGCAAAGCCCTAGTATAAGTAGGAAAGAGGGTAGAACTGATTCGATATCAGGCCTCTTATGTCTCCTCAAACGTTTTTAATCACTAGACTAAAAGCTTGGGATAAAAAAAATAATATTGTTTCATTGCATGTTGGCATTTAATGATTACAGTTAAATACCTAAATTCATTTACTTATGAAATTCATTTTCTGTGCTCAAAAACTAATAAATATATACAAAACAAAGAAAAGTGAGAAATTACCGCAATAGATAAATAAAGATGACCAGGGTAAGGTATTAACAATATATACTTCAGAGAAATCGAGTAGCCCTTAGTTTCCATTTTTTGGAGGCATGTCGAAGTTTAATTTTCTTCTTCTTGTTTGCTATCTTGCCATCTTTACCAATCGGTATCTTCCCTTCCCTGTGTATGCCATGGTGCTTACTTTTTATGCCCCATGTTTTATATTTGATCTTAGTTGATAAAACGACCTTTAATTCAGCTGTTGCATTCAGTATTGCATTGCGAAGAGCTGTCCAAAGGCGGGTGTCAACATCCACATGGTCAACAACTTGACGATTTCTATCCTTCCCTTGATAAAATGAAGGGATAGTATTCTTCCCTACTGTATCTGACCCATGATAAAAGATCAGGAAGATATCATCATAGTAGATACCTGAGTCTTCGTTTGGATTTTTGATATCAAGTTCATATTGGATGATCCCATGACCAGATGCATTGTTATCATTTGCCGCAGGCACAGAAAAATTCACGATAGTATAGTCGGGACTTTTGGGACGCAAGGCTAGCCATAGACAAAGAGCAAGAAGGCCCAACAGGCCAACGATCTGGAGAAGCCATAAGTAGAAGTTTTTGGTTTCGCACATTATATTGTTTGGGATACTTACTCCTGCGGAGAGAATGAAAACAAGGAGATTTCCTCAAGGATTGAATTGCTACATCATCCTGGTAATGGAATTTGGTTTATCTCGGAGGCTAAGGAATAGTGGCTTGAGTGAGAATAAAGTTTAAACTATGGACTTTCATTCGTTGAAGGATGTAAGTTTAGCAAGGAACATTTATTATTGTTTTGGAGGAGATACGCCTATATACTTTTCTTTTGTGTGTCACTTTCCTTTATATAGCACACAGGCTTCAAGGCCTAATTATTGCAAAAGGCTTAGAATTATGCAATCCCTTGCTTATAATTAACTCCGAATTTTTTTAAAACTGATTCAAGTTATTAATTGATTTCTATGGTGCAAATTCGGGTGTCGTGCAAGCACAATTTCTTGAGCAGATATCAGTTAAATGCATTTCTTCGCAAACGCATATCTTTAAAATATAAACCACATTTCTTGGCATACAAATCTATGTGTGATTTTCTCTTAGTGTCTGATCTTACGGGTATAAAACCCTAGTTTCCATTTCCTGTCAGGTTCGACCATGTGGTGTCATCTCTCCCGATGATTTCCCTCCATCCGAACCAATGGACATGTATGCGTCAGTATCCAGTTGATGACGGTTTGTCCTGTATCTGAATATATCATAGACATACTGAACTCCACTTTTTAAGCAAATCTTCAAATTTACTCTCCTATCCATAATCCCTTCCCAAGACTGCTGGTCAGCATTCACTTTCACTTCGCAAAATGTAGTCTTGCTGTAACCTTGATGGAAACCTGCAATAGAATTGTTGCCTATAAAGCTATCATTGTGGTGTAAGGCTACTTTGATATCATCGTGGTAGATGCCAATCTTCTTGTTGGGATTTGAAATTTCAATCTCGAGAATAATAGAGATGTTTTGATGCGATGAGTTTGAGCGCCTATGAAATGTTGAGTACTTCCCGCTGTGGTTTACTGTTGAATTCCAGCCATGCTGGAATGTCAAGTTGCGGCCATCATAAAATGTTGAATTCCTGGCATCTAAGTGGGAGATGTAGACATCTACAACCTTGTAAACAGGATGCTTTGGCCTCAAAATTAGCCATATCAAAATCGACATCAAACCCCAAAGGGTTATGACTTCAAACCAGAAATACAGGGGAAGTTTAGTAGATTTTGATTCAGCAATTTTCATTTTGCGGAACTGTAAATTTGATGGAGTTGATATATGTATTGTAGAAAGGATGTGAAAGAAACACGAACGTCCAAGTAGGCTTAAATAAGCTCTTCAGATAAGCTTAAAGACAAACGAGCTAAGGGATGGCCTCAGTGCTTGTGACGAGGTTAATTACCATTAACCAATCAATTCTTTTTCATTTCTTCAAAGAGTTTACCTTTTGAAATTGAAAGGCGACGTCCTTCTGGCCATTGAATAAAAAAGGTAAGTTCTCATTGCTTTCCAAGGCTGTATTTCATTTATAAGATGACATACTCCAATATGCAGGACTTCTAGTGGCCCGCATGAAAGCAGCATAATTGAAGAACTTAGAACTAAGGAAACTTAATCCTTCAGGTAAACATAAAGATACTGAAAAGTGATTCAAAAGGTAATTGAAGTAAATAACTTACCAGTGTTTTAAAGTGGATTAAAAAAGTTGGACAAACTTAACAGTTAAGGATTAAAGTTACTTTTGAATGAACAATGAAATTAGTTTTGATAAAATTGAAAATAAAAATAGAAATGAGATTAATTATCATAAAATTGAATATTATAGTAATAAGATTTAAATTAATAATGAAATATTTGTTTAGATATAAAAACAACGATAGTAGTAAGATATATTATAGTAAGAAAAAATTATTATTAAAGATATTAAATTAAAAATTATATATAATAAAAATTTTAAATTATTTAATATTTACAAAATTTATAAATAATTAAAAAATTATTAAATTATTTTCATATCCAATAATTATTTTATTAACAAAAAATTATAAAATTATTTTTATAAAAAAATAAATCATTTGAAAACTTTTAAGTAAAATATTTTAAAATAAAATAAAATAAAATAAAATTACCAAAAAAAATTAAAAAAAAAAAGACAAACAAACAAGCCGGTAAGATAGAAAAAGTAGACTTACCTCTTAATATAAAAAGAAAAATAAAAAGAGGATGATGATGGAAAAGGAGCTATGACTACCTTTACTAGACCTATGAAGATCAGGTCTTTAACTGGAGGTGCAGCTTAATTAAAGTGTTTTCATCGCGTTGTTTTTTTTCTATCCAAACATCCTTAAGAGAGATTAACCCCTCTAATCTCATTGCACTGGAAAAAAACTTTTAAATCCAAATGAGCTCTAAAACTCTGATGTGGCGATTTCATATATATAGTCTTAGGCGAAAGTGGCAATTGGTTCATCTACCAAAGATAAGCAAAGAACAATTTTAATATCTCAATTGTACTAATTTTCCTATTTTGCTTAGAATGAACCACCTCCTCTAATCAAATTTATTTTAAGACTAAGACTAATTAATTATAATTAAGTTGCCATGATTTTCTCTTTAGGCATATATAAAAACCTTAGGTCCTATTTGGTATATAAAATTATGATAGGATAAGATAAAATAATATTATGAATAGGATTAGATTAAATAATATTATTTTATATTATATTTAATGTGTGTAAAGATTAAGATAAGATAATTTATTTATTAATCAAAATTATTTTTTTTTTAAATTTATATAATTTAAATTATTAATATAATTTTTAAAAGTAAAGTAAGACATATAAATTCAATCTCATTGATTAAAAATAATCATCTCTACTTTGAGAGTATTGAATCATCCTATACAAAAAAGATAATAATTTTCTTTATAATTCTATTACTTTTTTTCAAATACAAATCAAATATAATATAAAATTATTATCATCCTATCCTATACTATCTATTACCCTATTCATTAAACATAACCTTAAGTTACAAGTTTTACATTTGTCACGTTCGAAGGTTGAAAGGTTTAATAACGTGCCATCAATCAGAATTCCATTTAATTAGACATAACATTACAAATCAAATCAAATAAGAGTGATTATACAACAATGAATGGAAATATACTTTGCCCTTCAAAGCAAAAGCAGAAGGAAATGAAAATGACAAAAATAAATGCAATAATCAACCGAAATAGACAGGACATTTCTTGTTCTTCCAAGCTGGCAAGATCGATCCATCTGGACCAACTGCAACATCACAATTAACATGCATCTTATGATGCTTACTGTCCCATGTAGAAACCTTAAATCTGATCACTGACGTTATATCTAAACGAAAAACCACCGTCCCTTGTTGTCTGTCACCCATAAACTCCTTCCCACGATTGCTGTTTACCGTAAGCGTAGCTGCACCGAATGTACCGTACACAATAGTAGTTGTCTTTGGTTCCTGGTAAAAAGGGTCCAGCAACGGCGTTGACCCGATTTGGTGATCTTTATAAAAAACTGACCCCACCATAGAGTCGTAATAGATTCCAATGTGTTGGTTTGGATTCCTGGCTGTTACATTGAAAGTTATTTCAGCATTTTCAAACCCTAAGGGTTGAGCCAAACCAGGAACCTTGAACTCTATCATATGAAACCTTGGACGATGAGGGCGTAAACTAAGCCATAAAATGAAGAAAACAATGCCAACAAGTAAAAGAAGAGACAAGAATATGGCACATAGTATTTTGGTGACTCTACTTGTGAAGCTTTCACGAACCTGATGCGCGTAGTATCGGGCGGTGTGGTGGCGTTTGACGGGTTGTTGGGATTGGGGTAGGGGGTGTGGTTGGGGCTGGGGCTGGGATCCCTGCTGGGTATATCGGATGGGCAACCTGTCGGAATTGGACATGTTTTTCAATAATTGAGAAGGTTTTCCGAGAAGATTTTGGTGATGAAGCAAAAGCGTTTGTAGGGAGGGTGTTTATGTAGTGGTTACATGATTTAAAGGTGGCGGGGAAGAGACTTTAAAGAATTTGGAGTCTTTTTCCATGGCCAAGGAAAGGAATAAGGCATTGTTTATCATTAGGCTATCCATGTTCATAAATGATACTATACTCTCAACATTTACTACATCAACTTTATGAATTTTTTTTTTTTTTTTATGTTTGTGTTTTGGATGATATTATGTACTGCAAAGTTAGAATGAATTTAGAAGTTAGGAGCTGATTAAATGTGATTTATAGCTAATAATTAGTAGTTGAAGTTCAATTAGAGCTGATAATCATTAAAAACCTAAACGAATTTGAATATTGGGATTGTCAGCTCTAAGGTATAAAGGTGTCTTATGGCGTATGGAAACCGAAAAGTATATGTGTACAATTAGGAGAAAGAATATGGATTTCATATACGTGGCAGAAGTTTTGTCTATTTTTCCAATTATGAATTCTTAATATTTTGTCTCCTAATTACTTTTCCTTTTTTTTTTTTTTCTGTAGATATTATATTAATTCCAAACAAACTCAAGTTTGAGTGTCTTTCTTAAAAAAACTAATATGAATACAGAATAGTTAGAGAAACAAAGTGACCCAACAGTTTATATCTAATATTTAATTTTTTAGATAATGAGAAGGATATGATGTTCACTTGGCAGCCCTTCCTTTTTTCATTCTTTATTTTTTATTTTTTGTTTTATTTTATTTTTATTAAATTTGTTTTTTTGTTTTTGTTTTTATTAAATACATTTTGTAATAAAAAATTAATAATAATAAGAATAATAAAACAATCTGTATTTGATTAATTTTAATTCACACCGATTAAGTATTTTTTTTTTAAGATCTAAGATAGGATTAAAATTTTCTTTTTTTAAACAAGGTGGAGATAAATTTAAAGTGTTTCATATCGTCTTGGACATCCACTTCGCACCTTTCTCCTTTTTTTCATTTTCTTTATTTTTCAAAGCTTGCACTTTTTTTTTTTTTCGTTTTTACTTTTTTACTTTTATTTTTATTTGATAAATTTTGTATTAAAAAAGATAATTGAGATAAAAATGATAAAATAACTAATATATGATAGGTTTCAATATGTTTTGATTCAATTAGTGTGCTTTTTTTATATTCGAGATAATTGGATTGAATTTTTTATTTTTTTATTTTAAATTGAGTTTAAGTCAAAATAAGATTTTAGGTGTTACATCTCAACCTTAATCTATATAAAAAAATAATTTTTTTATTATTTATTTAATTCTATATTTATATGATTAAAAATATTATTTAATAACTTAGTTTAATAAATTCACATGTCATCCCATTTGTTTTTTTTTTTTAATTTTATTTATTAGATAAATTTTATTAAAAAAAATCAATAGATATAAGGATAATAAAACTATCTATATCTAATAGATTTCGATTAGTTATAATCCAATCGACGTCATTTTTTTTAATAAAATTGGGTTAAGTTTTGTTTTTTTTAACAATTTGAATCAAGTCAATATTGGATTTGGAAAGTTTTGTCTCAATTTTCCTCAAGATATATAAAAAATATATTTTTTATTATTTATTTAATTTATATTTATATATATATGTATTATGTTAATAAAGATATTATTTAATGCCTTAATTTAATAAAAAAAACTATATATATTTGTTCCTAACATTTATATATAATTAAGTTATAATTTATATTAAAAAATAAAAACACTTATATTTGTTTATATGTTATCATCCATTAAAATTTGACATAAAAATTTTATTTCTCTCATATTTAAAAAATAATTTAAAAAATAAAAAATTATCCTACAACACAGCACTAGTATAATAATTCTAGGGGAGAGGATCCTCTTTATTATGTAAAAAATAGAAGAAACTTTCACTACTTTATTTAATGATAATAAATATATTCTCAACTAAATTTAAAATTGAAATTAGTTCAAATTATTTTTTATTTTTTTATTTTTTTTTATATTTAATTTAAAATCATTAAATTTCAACCTTGGATTTAAGTGAGAGCATATTTATCATCATTAAATAAAATAGAAAAAACTTACACTATTTTTTAAATAGCGGAGAGAATCCTTTCCCTAATTCTAGTATCTATAATAGAAAGTAAGCTCTCAATTGTAATGTACTACTGTTCTCATCATTGTTTATAGATTTTTCAATTTTGTGGCATTTGTCATTTAGGATGAAACTAAACCTCCTGGAGACAGAAGCTCCCGTA